AAGTATGGTTTTGTGTAATTACCATAATTTTTTATGTAAATTTACTTCAATAGACAAGAATAAAATGTATCACTCTAAATTCATCCATTAATATTTATTCTCATTAAATGCTTTTGGACATTTTGCATTCTTTTAAATTTTACGTTTCATTAAAATCCTAATATTTATTAAATATATTCTTTAATTAAAGTCAAATAAAAAATGAAAGAGATACAATTAGCAAATACATATAGACATAATAATATATGAAGAATTTGAAAATGTAAGAATTACCTTCTTTTTTTTAATATCAATGACTATGTGATACGATGCTTTAATGTTATGTAGGATTTAGTTTCTTTACCCAAATCCCACTTTTCTGTCTATTTCTTGCATCATTAACATGGCTCGTGTTAAGTCCAATTAATCAATAAAAGCAAGTAATATCTATAATGTAAGCTTTATCACGTTATCGCCCAAACTCTCAACACCCCCCACCCCCCCTCTCAAAACAAAAAAAGAAATAAATAAAAAATAAAATAAAAAATCCTTCCCAATTATTTGATCAAATTCATATTGTAATCAATTCTAGACCTAAAATGTTGGATAAATGGTGAATCTGAGAATTTTATCTTAAAAATTTTGTTGCTTGTAGTGAAATGGGTGTATTGAAGGTTACATTTTTTAGGAATTTGTTTATTACTTTTCCATTGTATATGGGAAATTTGAAAATATTGAATAAAGAATGATGATTTTTGATAATTATAGGAATGATTTAGCGATTTCATGGAAAATTAATTTTGGTTTATACAATTCATTATTGGATTCTGAAAAGAATTACTTGCAATGGGATGACTTGCTTTATCTTGAAAACAACCCCTATCTTTGAAATGGTTTTGTGGTATGCCCCAAGTTACTTTTTTTTCCAGAGTGGAAACATGTCTCGGAGAGAGGTTAGATGAAATAGATATAACTTCACTTAACTCCAAGTACAATTTATATAACAATTCTTATAGCTATACCAATTATCCAGATCGTTACCATGATAGTGTGTCTTCCTCTTATCACTACAAGTATCTGCAATTTAGGGACTATGTTGAGTCTGTTTATTACTCTTCTAGCTGAGTTAATTACAATTGTGGATCTTCGATGGTTTTGTTAGTCCTATGTCATTTCTTGATTGGCTTGATGATCTTAAAAAGTTATTGGACTTTCACAATATAAGTGACTCCCGTCGCATTTGTTTTCCTAATATGTCACTTGTCAAACATTGGTGTTATTGAAATTACAACAATTGTTACGCTCTTGTTTAACATCCATTCTCCAAAAACCCTTTTTTTTAAAAAAAAAAAAAATTCATTCACAACTTCATATTCTTTCAAAAAAATAATTATGCATGTAAATTATTACAAAACACAAAAAAAATGGGACTCAAAACCGTTCTAAGTATGTTAATTAATAGTTAAATCATATTATTATTTTACTTTTTATTTATTTAGGGAAATCGCACATTTGGTTCTCTATCTTTAATGGTTGTTGCTTATTCGTCCTCAAACTACAGAAGTGGTTGTAATGATCGCCAACCTTTGATGCGTTTAGCTGATTTAGTACATTCATACAATTTCCTTCCATATTCGAATTTCTATAAAATTATGGCGCATCAGGCTTTTTGTCAACATTTCTAAGGGTTAAGATCGTCAACAAGGGCGGACCCAGCATCCGGCGGGGGTGGGGGGAGGCCGCCCGTGCTGGCTCCGTTGAAGTTACAGTCGTCGTCTGGCACCGGGAAGTTTACAATGACAATCAGGTGAAAGAAGTGGAAGGAAGGAGAAGAAACACAGGTTTGGCCATTTGGACTTTGGGCCCTTTTTTAAAAAAAGTTTTGGGCCTCTTGTTTTTTAAATAAAATCAAGCCCAATTATCAAATCCATTACCATTTACCCACCAAGTACCAATTAATCGATAATTCCAAATGAATTCAATTTCCAAACTAGGTTCCTCCCTCTGTCGGCAATTTCATGTTTATTACTCATAGCATCATAAACATCAATTCCAGTCCAGGTAATAGTTAATTAATGGCTCCCCAATTGCAAATTTTTTTGCATTTTCACTTCAATTTATTTATCGAATAATTTATTTCGGCAGCGGAAGTGAAGAGCGGCGGGTGTCTGTGCGGAACCGGTTCGGATCGCCCACAGCAAACTAAATTGAGAGATGCACAAGTATTTACGTTCAAGGATCTGGAAATGGCTACTAATAAATTTAGTGAAGCGAAATTGATAGGGAATGGAGCATATGGAGTGGTTTACAGAGGGATCCTCAGTAATGGGAGTGTAGCAGTGATTAAGATGTTGCACCGCAAAGGCAGGCGCCAGGCGAGGAGAACGTGCTGTTGGAGAAAATAATGGTGAATCAAAGTAATAGATGAAACCGAAGGCCCGTGTTCACACGGTTTCCTTAAATCGAATTCGCCGCCTCACCGGGGTGCACGAGGTTTTTGTTCGGTGTTCGATTCCCGGGATACAATCGGTTATCGGTCCACGTTGCACTACGTTACCGACCTACGAACTCACCG